GCATTCAGACATAAACCCCTGCCTATATTGCTTTCTTATTCTTAGCCTACATGCCACAAAAGACCATAAAGGAGACATCATCTTATATATATATATATCATCTATTTAATAAAAAAATAAGTTATGTGTTGACAATGATTTTCAAAATCCAATATGATAAGTTTATTAGCTTTTATAATAATCATTTTAAAATTTATATTAATAGTAATTTCTAATGTATTAATAGTGTAAGTGTCTATATATTTTACATCGATTTAAATATTATATATCGTAAAATTATTAAACTTTATATAGTTACAGTATATATAAGATCATTATGAATAGAGGGTAATTCTTATGTAATGTGGATGTACAAAATTTTATATTATCAACCGACATTTTTTATTAGCATGTCATGCCAACATTTTTTATTTTTTAAGTTAAGTAAGTAAAAAAAAAAAATACCAATGTAAGAGTTTGGGTTTCCTTTTTCTTTTTTAATATAAATATAATATTGTGCTCAGAACTCAATATTTAAGTTTGGAGATATAATCAATGAAGATACACATATTTATATTGGACACAAAGTTGTTTGAGAAATTAGATGAATAATTTAGTTAAAAATTACTGGGAGAACATGTAAAAAAAAGTTGTTAGTTAGTAGGAGCCTATAATTTTTTTTTCTTTGTTAATGTTTTTTTATTTTTAATTTTAATTTTTTATTATTCTTAGTAGACAATTCAACCGCGCAGAACTTGACTCCTCTACTATGTATTGTCCTCTTGACTGTATTCGATATCATTTATAGTCTTAACTTGTTATTGCTTTTTATTATGGATTAAGCAATATCCTTGAACTCATTTAATTATATTATTTGCTTATAAAAAGTTAACTTAGTCGTTCATGACAAAGAGAGAAAAGTCTTAACATATATTTTTTTTAATCAACGAGACAAATTTGACAATATTGAAGTAGTACAACTATTGCTCGTGTTTTTTCCTTTCTCTTTCTGGGCAAGACCTTCATTATGCACGTGATGTTAACGATGGTAAAGTTTGACATGATCACCCCAATTTACAAATCTAAATGGATTCAAGTCTGGCTAAAAAGAAAATTAAAAAAAAAAAATCAGAAACGACTTTTGTATCAGCACAATATTAAATTTACCAGTCTCCCATATAATCTATCTTTTGATTAATATCTGCAAATTAAATATATTATCAAACAAAGAAATAGTTAAAAATTACTTTATAATAAACCGAGTATATATATTAATATATACATTTAATTAATTCCGCAAAAAATATTTTTCATTCGTCACCTTGTACCTATTGAAAAAGATAAGAACTCCATTTTTAGTTTAAGATAAACATAAAATAGGAAACACTATAGACTATTGTACATATACCAAGACTAGCTGTGAAGAGGAACGAACTAATTTATGTGAGAAAAAAGGGGAAATGAGATTGAATAATTGACTAAGCTTTTGGTAAAAAAGTGGAATTGAATAAACTCGTCAAAATTAAAGGCCGTACGAATTTTCCTTCCAGATACTAGTCAAGTTTACAAGTACGAAGCATGCAAGAAGGTGGCCAAGGGGGAAAAACGTGATTAATTTGCAAAATGACGATAGAGAAGCAAAAATTGAATTTCACCTTCACTTCGAAGCAATTTAGACAAATTAAACATTGTATGTCTAGTATAGACCGTACTATATAGCCAACTATAGCAATTAATTAAATTCAATGTTTGTCAATTGTATATAGACGAAATCAACAAAGAGTAGTAGGTGGCTTGTATTGTTGTTTCCTCTTTATCTTTGTGGTCCATTTTTCTGAACCCAACCTTCCCAATCCTTAGCTTAACCATAGAACTAAAGCCACCTTTCGGTTGGAATCAAAACGTGTCACAAAGCCAAATGTCTCTACAACCTTCAAAACAATACAAACGTAACACCCTATTGACCACAATGCCTCTCCTTCAACATTTTCATATTATTTGTCAACCACACAAACTCTCATGCTAGTATACTTGTCAAAATACCGCCACCGTCGTTCACAACAAATACATACATGATACATCACCCTTGACAATAACACCACCGAACCCCTCCACGTCACATTATTTAATTTGTACTTGCATGCCCTTAATTACCTTTTCTTCCACAATTGTATTTATTGACTAAATTAACACACTACACCACCAAAACATGCCGATCTCCAATTTGTTCCCTTCCCTAACCCTAATCCACGTTCACATAACTCTAAGACGTCACCAATCAAGGAAGAACAATCGCGAGTGCATGACAATTTACAATATTCGCACCACCCTATGAAATATTTGACCTTGACCAGCCACGTCACTAGCCTATCTTTTCTAAGAAAAGGACCCAAACACCTTTTTTTTTTTTTTTTATATTCATACTTGTAACTTGTAAGCGTGGCGATGGATGGAGGTTGATGAGTGAAAGAAACACCTAAGCAGATTAAAAAGAGGAAAGGACGAAAAAGAAAGGGAGGGGCACGTGTCGAACGGTGGAAGCCACCACCGCACGAGCTTTATGGTGCTTTCGTTTTCAATGTTACCGGTTGTAGCAAAATTCCAGCCAAACTCTCAATCTCTCACATCGACACGTGCCCGCACGTGTACACCTTTCCCGCAACCTCTCTCTGCTTCTGGCCGACGTGGCTTAAACTCGCGCGTGAAAAATGATTTCGCCACTGTATACCATCCCACACAACACAAACCTTGGTGCTAGTGGATACTGGATAGCAATCTGCTTCTAGAACAATCAACATACATCATTATTAACACGTGTCGCCCAATCACTCGCTCGCTTCTCTTTTTTAATATAAACACTAATTATTCACACTCTGGTAATAAATAATTACTTTAACATATCAAGCAGATTCAGTTTTATTACAGGTGTGCATTGACATTTTGTATTCGTTTAAATATGTTTTTTTTTTAATTTAAAATAAATTTGTTTTTATTTTTTAAATTTAAAATTATTATTTTAATTTTATAATTATTAAAAAATTTAATTTAATCTCTTATATATCATAATAACATGTATAAAAGTAAAAAAATTGTAATAATTATATACTTTTAACTAAATTTAATGTAACGTCTTACTAATAAAAATATTTGTAGATACATGTTTAACAAATTTTTAACAAATTAAATTTGAATTTAAGAATAAAAATAAAAAATTTTAAATTAAAAAAATTAATTTTAAATTTAAAAGATTAAAAATATATTTAAATTTAAAATCATAAGAGTATGTATAATGAGAGTTGTTTATAAGCAACTCTCATCCACTTTAAATGGATCTCACACTGCTATGTCACTCATAAGCAACTTATATTACATTTTTATAATTTTTATTTTAATAAAAGTTACTTATAAGTACCTCCACTTTTTAATCACTTATACTTCATTTTTAATAAATTTTAAAAAATTTAATTATTATAATTGTTGATATCAGTGAAAGAAGGAAATGATAAATTATTTTTTTATTCTTAAGTAACCATCTCTTATATAAGTAACGGTACTTAAATTTTAGCAATTTAATATTTCATATCAGCATGCTCCAATATAGATTTTTTATAAGTAATAAGAATTTAAATTTAAGAATCAGATAAGAACATAGTAATAGAGATGCTCTAAGAATAATCAACACTTATTGTTAAATTAATTGAAATATCAGTTCATTTTGATTTTTTGTAAACGTTTTTATTGTTATTTTGATTTTTTATAAACGTTTTTATTGTTCATGACAATTTCTGAATGTATTTATAGCTGAAGTGAGTTGCACTTGCACAACAAATGATAAGATAGATTCAGAGGAAATTAAACTCACGTTTTTCATGCGTCCGGATTAGCATTTCTTTAAATTATTGTCAACCGAGTATATCTCTTTTCGAGAAATTTTCTGATAATTAAATAGTTTTAGTTAAATAAAACTACTATTTACAATTTAAGTCTATTAATAGCAGTAGTAATTTTTGTTGAGATCACTGATCCCGATATGTCCAGAATAATTAAATGCATTTCCCTCACGTCTTACGCTATTTACCTTTCTAGTAAAAACATGCATGTACCGTACACCATTCCCCGTGTCACATTAGTGCTATATAAGTTCGGACTTATTTTATAGATTGCTTAAATTTTAGCAAAGTTACTTTTACAAGCAATTTTGTTAAAATTTGAACAACCCATAAAATAAGACAGAGTTGATGTGCCCAAAACCCTAAACCCTAAATCCTTATAAACAACTTCCATTACAATGCTCTAAACACTTTTGATCCTATATCTTTTTTACTAAATTTTCTTCTCTTTATGGTATATATTGAATGGGTTGCATATTTTTTATATATTAAAAGTACTTGTTTCTTCATTGAGTATTTTCTTTAAATTATAGTATATAGATTTACGGAAAGATATATATCAGTAAATTCTATTTTTATTTATAGAAAAATAAATTTACTTAAAATAAGTAGAGATATTAAAATATTTAATAATATTTTTCATTTATAGAAAAATAAAGGTATATATTGATTTTTTTTCGTTTAATATTTTTTAATAGAATTTGTAGAGAAATTTATAGTATTTGTATCTATTTGGTTGCTTTATAAAAAGTAAATGTATTTAATATTTCTTCATTTATATTAAAATTTGGCAAAAAGTGGTGGTAGAAAACAAAATTTAATTTTTTTAATTAAATTTTGAGGCGTATGAGTGGATGTTGGGCGGATTTACTGTTGAGTGTTTTTACCTTTAAATAAGAAAGTTTGATTTTGTTAGAATTTAGAATAATTTACTATGAGGGTTACGTGCAATGCACCTAGCGAACGCGACGACCGCATCGGAACCAGATAAGGTCGAGGGGTCTGAATGGTTTCTGGTACAGGACACGTGGGGAAGTCCAAGAGGCGAGTAACTAAAGTGGGTCCCACCTCTAGCAGTAAGACAAAGATAACCGTACTTATCTTGCGCCTCCTGTTCCTATAAATAACGTCCCCTGTCTACCGTTTTTTGAGAAAATAGAAGAAAAAAAGAAAACTCAAAATCACCTACTTCTTCTTCCTCATCATCATCATCATCATCATCACTTCTTGCGCTTCACAATGGGAGTTCCAGAGAGAGACCCTCTTTCTCAACTGAGTTTGCCTCCTGGTTTCCGCTTTTACCCCACCGACGAGGAGCTTCTCGTTCAGTATCTGTGCCGCAAGGTTGCTGGTCACCATTTCTCTCTCCAAATCATTGCTGAAATTGACTTGTACAAGTTCGACCCCTGGGTTCTTCCAAGTAATTCAATTTTCCTTCTCCCTTCTTTTCAAATCTTAATTGGTACTTTGTTCTGGATTAACTAATTAACAAGTAACAATAACATAATCTCAGGCAAGGCGATTTTCGGTGAAAAAGAATGGTACTTTTTCAGCCCTAGAGACAGAAAATACCCAAACGGGTCCCGACCCAACAGAGTAGCCGGGTCCGGGTACTGGAAAGCCACCGGAACCGACAAAATCATCACCACCGAAGGTAGAAAAGTTGGCATAAAAAAAGCTCTTGTTTTCTACGTTGGCAAAGCCCCCAAAGGCACCAAAACCAATTGGATCATGCACGAGTATCGCCTTCTCGACTCTTCCCGAAAAAACAACGGTGGCACCAAGGTGGGTACTGGGTACTGTAGCAATAGCATAGAGTCATATAGACATGTACAATTTCATCAAATTTAATTAAGCGTTATTGTAGCATCATATAAAATTGGTTAATAACAAGGTTTTGTTGATGTCACAGCTTGATGATTGGGTTTTGTGTCGTATATACAAGAAGAATTCAAGCGCGCAGAAGGCAGCTCAAAACGGCGTGGTTTCGAGCAACGAGCACACTCAATACAGCAACGGGTCGTCCTCTTCGTCCTCGTCCCACCTCGACGAGGTTCTGGAATCGTTGCCAGAGATCGACGAGAGTTGTTTCATGGTGCCACGTGTGAACGCGATGCCGCAACATCGGGAGGAGAAGCTGAACCTCGGCGCGGGGGGTTTGATGGATTGGGCCAACCCTGTGCTGAGCTCGGTGGGTGATTTCGTTTCGGGGAACCCAATGGTGCAGGCCCAAACTCAGGGGATGGTGAATTATTCTGGGCCTGGGTGTAATGACCTTTATGTCCCCACGCTCTGCCACGTGGACTCGTCGCTGCCGCAGAAGGTGGAGGAGGAGGTGCAAAGCGGTGTGAGGAACCAACGGCTGGAGAATTCGTGGTTTCTTCAGAATGATTTCGCGCAGGGGTTCACGAACTCCGTGGACACGTGTGGGTTTAAGTACCCGGTTCAGCCCGTGGGCTTCGGCTTCAGGCAATGAAATGAACCGGCTTAATTTTAAGGATAATTAATAATGTTTAGTTAGTTATTAGGGTTTATTTTGTGTAAATAGATGGGATTCTTTGGGCTAACTCGTTGGGTTTTAGATTCCAAAAGGATTTTAGAAAAAAAGTGCAAAATTTTGGTCCTCGTTTTCGGCCACAGATGGAGGTGGAGAAGTTCAATGAATCAATCCACGAGGATGAAGCAATGATGGAACCTTTTCATTTGTTAGGTTGTGTAGTTTTGGTCCACACCACCCTCATGAATCACATTTTGTACTTACAATGAACTAAAAATTGTTTCCAATGGGTTAATTTCGTTTCTATCTTGATATAATGTTTTTAATTAATACCAATTCGAGTGAATAGTGAAACATGGATGAATAATAATATATTATATTCAGATTTTTATGAATATGTATAATATGCACGTGGAAAATGAGTAACCGTGGATGGTGTGATCGTAATTTTGAAAGGTTGGCGCATGGCCATTATGAGAAAAGAAAGTGATAAGGTTCGTACACCAAAGTCTTGTATTTGTGTGCGTAAATAATTAAAGTTCCAAAGTCAGGTGGCCGTTTCGTTTTTTTCTCATCGGTATTTTGACAATTTCTAACAGAGGACAAAGAAAATAGTTTTTAGATTGGGAAAAGTATTCCAGGAAACAAATCCAGACTTATCTTTTTTCATTCCTTTACAATATCACATATTTAATATTCTTTTGCATTAAGGATTATTCTATTCGAGTAAGATAAAATTATTATAGATAATAAAACTTTTACTTTAAAAATATTAATTAAATTGAAATAATTTCTTACAAGTTCATTTACGTGTTTGCTGGAGGTCCATCTATTTGTAATAAATGTTCATGCACGAGTAAGTCGACGTCTTGAGAAATAAACAACGTTTGACTGCGGAATTGTTGAACATTATAGCAGAATGGTGTTGTAATACTACATTAAAAATTTAATGTTAACTGCCGTATGGATGGAGTTTTTTTTTAGCTATACTTTCAGGGAAGGCAATTAAACAACTTCATTTTCTTTTATTTCAAGTAAAAGGGTAAAAGAAAATGAGTTAGTTGTTACTTTTATATTCTTAATATATGTTTTCTTTAGTTTTTAAAAAATATTTATAAAAAATGATTAAAAATGGAGTAAATAATTAATTAAGTAGATAAAGCAATAATTGTTTATATAGAAGTAGAAGTAGAATGCAGAAGATAAAGAAAAAGGAGAAAGTGATGATAATGATTCGCGAGTATGGTTGTTGTCCCATTCCCATTCCCATGGGTTGGAAATGATAAGACAAAAGAGGACACGTAAGCATCTTATCCTGGTGGTATGAAGAAGAGTTATATATATATATGTAATTTATTGAGAGTTGAAAGGGAAAAAAGAGAAAGATAAATCGGTGTTTGGATGTTTTCCTAAAAAGAAATGAATAGATATTTATTTACCGTAGTGAGGTGGAATCTGCATGAGCAAAGGCGAATGTGTGGAAAGATAAGAGCCAAGAGTGAAACGCTGAACCAAAGAGAGAAGATAAGTATGAAGTTGTTATTGTCGTACCAGGTTTCGCCTTTCTTAGCGCCAGCGCTCAGTATGAGTAAACCCTTTTTTTTTTTTTTTTTTTTTTTAACAACTTTCAAATCAATCTTTCAAATTGCTACAAGATGTTTCATCGTACTCATCATTCTTACTCAAAAAGTATATATATATATATATATATATATATATATATATATATTATTGAATTTGTTAAAAAAAATTCAAAACTGATAATTAAGAATTAAGTTATTTTTGTAAAATATAATTTTTTTTACTTAATATTATTTTAATATAATTGAGAATCAAATTTGAGAATACATTAAATCGATTTCATATGCGTTCAGATAACTATTTGATATCAATGTTTTTCTTAATTAATAAAATAAATAATTTAAAATAAAAATATTTTTGAATTACTTGCATTTTAATTTATATTAATTAAAAATATTATTAATGTTTTAACACCATTAGTTAGTGTTCTTACCGGAAATCTGCTTAGAGCTGATCCGCCAGGTAAGATCGGTGAGCCTCCTTCACGGGTACGCTGGTGCTCCAAGATGGGGGTGGTACCTGCAAAAGAGACTTCGATGCTAAAGTTAGTGTTTGTAGGAGTATGAATCTCGTATATGTAATGCACGTACCTTAGTGTGAATTAGGGTTGTTTTGGGCCTTGGGCCTGAGATAAGATATGATAGGATTAAATGATGGATCCCTTCTGAAGCGAGATCGCTCGAGATCGGTTACGATCTGCTTAAATGCCGAGCTGACGTCGCGTAGCGTGTGCTCGACCTCGTTTTGTGCAGTGATGCCGAGCTCGGAGCTCGGCTTCGCGGTACAGTCAGTACACTAGCCCCCCGAGCAACTGTTCATTTTCCGAAAGCGTGCAAGCGGCGCGTTAAGGGAAATGACAGTTATGCAATGATGGCTTTGCAATTAGTGTGTTGTCAAGCGTGCCCTTAGGTCGACACGTGGCATGGCCATTTTGAATTTTGAGAGAAAACTTTCTTTCCTCTCACTCGTGCCTCTTCACCTCTCACTTTACTCACTTTTCGCTCTTTAAGCTTCTTGCGCACGCTGTTTCTCTCTCTTTTCTGCTCGTCTTCCGTCTCCACTTTCTCCGTTTCCGCCGTCGTTTCCGGTAACCCAATCATTGTTAGGGTTATTTTCTGAAGGAGAGTACCAGGTACTTCCTTTCTACAGTCTTCTTTTTCCTTCTTCCCCAATCTTCTTCAAGTCTTTCTTGTTTTTTCCATGGCGGGGGGGAGTAGTGTCGGTTCTTCTGCGCCTTCTCGGGGCAAGGCGTGTGGTAGGACGGTGGCTACCGGGAGAGCTGCCGTCGAGAAGAGGGATCTGCCTCCGCCCTGGAGCCTGGAGCCAGGCGTCCCTGGCTACGACTGGGTCAAGTGTGAGATGGCGGGGGTCGTCGATGGGGGTGCAGCTGTGAACATCCTGCCTAAAACCATGTTGAAGAGGTTTGGGAAATCTTTGACTGATCTGAAACCTCACAATATAATGATTTCTGATTATGCAGGCAAGTCTTCAAACCCTGAAGGTATGATTCTGCTCGATGTGCAGATTGGGAGTGTGAAGAGGACTACTATGTT